ACACAAAGGCAAACTGGTCTTGACACTCCTGGTCTATTGGGATTAAAAAGAAAGCATTAGCCAAGTCTATCACAGCATGATATTCTCCTGCCTCTTTGGCTATTTTCTATGTGATGGAGATCATATCAAGTACAGCTGATTTCAATGGAGGTGCCACTCTGTTTAGACCTCTGTAATCCACAGTCATTTGATAAGTCCCATCCGGTTTCTTTACTGGAAACACCGGAGCTGAGAAAGGACTTACAGCAGGTCTAAGGATCCCTAATCTCAATAGTTCTTGAATAGTCTCCCCAATTTCTTTGTGGCCTCCTGGCAGCCTGTACTGCTTAAGACAGATTGGCTTCTCTGGTGGAGGAATGTAGACAGGGGTCCATTTTGCATGACCTCTGACCACAGCCTTCACCACCTTTACCATATACACTTTGTGTGGATACCCTAATATGAATGTACCGCGTTCAGTCTGGATTGACCTTGAAGTACATCCGTACCAAGAATATTTTCAGGCAATTCTGACACTAAAACATTTGTCCAAAATCCCGGTCCCTTTCCAATAGTCAGTTTCACCCGTGTCCTAATTGCTGGTGTGGTCTGCCCTCCCAAACCTTCTACGTAAATCACTTCTCCTTTGCGATGGGAGGGATTACCATGTAAAAGTGTAACTTCAGCTCCAGTATCTACTAAAGCCATTACATGTGTGTGGGAAGAGGACTTCCCCCAACATACAGTGACAGGTACAAATGGCCTTCGGTCTCCAGCTGTCACTGTTCTTACTGCTATTACTGGAGACCCGCTTTCCCTTCACAAAGGATAAGGAACCCCCCAGTTCCCCTTCCTGAGACTCTCTAAATCCTCCCTAGGGTAAAGGGATTTCTGTTTGGGTTCTTGTACACTTCTTGGAATTACTTTGGGACCAGTAGGAGCAGTCTATTCTACCTCATCTAACCCTAGGCTAATGTTGTCTTCACTGGTGGTGTTTCTAACCCTTGCAGATTTCCCCACTAATTGCTTCCACCGCTTCATCAATTCTACAGTAGAAACCCCATCTATCTCATCTCTGGGCACTCCTGCCTTTATTAGGTCCACCCACATTTGCCTTCTAGAAATAACTACAGGTGAAACTCGAATAATTAGAATATTGTGCAAAAGTTCATTTATTTCACTAATGCAACTTAAAAGGTGAAACTAATATATGAGATAGACTCATTACATGCAAAGCAAGATAGTTCAAGCCGTGATTTGTCATAATTGTGATGATTATGGCTTACAGCTCATGAAAACCCCAAATCCACAATCTCAGAAAATTAGAATATTGTGAAACGGTCCAATATTCTAGGCTCAAAGTATCCCACTCTAATCAGCTAATTAAGCCGTAACACCTGCAAAGGGTTCCTGAGCCTTTAAATGGTTAGTTTCACCTTTTAAGTTGCATTAGTGAAATAAATGAACTTTTGCACGATATTCTAATTATTCGAGTTTCACCTGTATTCTAGTTTCCTCTGTACCTCCCGTCTCCCTTCCTGACTTCCCAGTCTTTTCTGTCTTTCTCTTCTTTCGTTTCCCCCTGTCTGGCTTTAACCTGATCTACCGCTCTGACAGGTTTCGTATTAGTCTCCTCTAACTCCCCCAACTGGTTGAAAAGGGTAGTGGCTTCATGAATCTTGCTGTTTAATCCCAGGCCTCCCAGCAAAGACAGCAAAGGAGCTCTGAGATTAAAAGGCGCAGACCTCATCAGCTTGGAGCGCAGAGCAGATGCGAACGGTTCCATATCTGGACCCATCCATTCCGGTACCTTAGTTAGTCCAGTTATACAGCCCATCTCACGTAACCTGGCAATACCCTCTCTCATTGTTCTCCAAGAGGAGGCATTTTCTAGGTCACTAAGTTCTGTTCATCCCGGAATTTGTGAAACCTGCAGCCGGAGCGAAGTACATTTCAGTGTTTCCCCTCCTAGAAATCATTACATGCACTAGAAGGATAGTGTAGTGGGTGCATGTGATCCTTTGTTTGTAGCAGCCTGTATGTATGTCTTGTTTATGTATTTGTTTTTCCTGTAACTAAGTTTGTACACGCAGCATTTTCGCCAAGTAAAGTAATTTTAATTGCTACCGGGGTCAGTTTCCTGCAAGAACAGACAACAAATAGAAATTAAAGTTTTGCCAAGCTTTACAGCTGGGCTCATCCTTGGGATAAGCTTTATGTCTCTGGGATTTGTAGTCCAGAGCATTACATGATGTTAGACTGACTGGTCCGTAGTTCCGCGGTTGGTATCTTGAACCTTTTTTGAATATTGGTACTACCGTAGCTTTACGCCAATCACTTGGTACCCTTCCATTCAGTATGGAGTCCTTGATAATGAGGAATAACGGTCTCGCTATAACATGGCTGAGCTCTTTAAGTATCCTGGGGTGCAGGTTATATGGTCCTAATGATTTATTTGCAAGTCTTTATTGAACCCCCACTACCGTCAACCACTGCGGTATCTTACATGCTAAGATACTAACATTCTTATCTCCATTAAACCTGTCTTTAGTGTATACTGAGGCAAAAAAGGAATTTAATACCTCAGCCTTCTCCCTGTCGTTTGCGATTATTCTCCCGTTCTCATCTTTTATTTGGCCTACCTGCTCTTTTCTTCCTTTTTACTGTTTATATATTGGATTTTTTTCCCCTTTTGAATCATAAAAACATTTTTTGACTGGGAGAAATGAATTGGCAGGAGAGGCATTATTTTTTTACAACATTGGAAAATTCCCACGCTATTTGAGGAAGGTGTTTAGATTGCGTAGTGTCTATATATCCGTTTTTTTTCTGCTGGGGGCTATGCAATTTTGGACACATTCAGCTTTTCTATAGATAACTGTGGGTTTGGGTTGTTCACATACAAGCATACCCCTCCCCTCCACTTTGACCAACCTTGTCCCTCCTAAATAGGTTTTACCCTTGTATATTTCCTGTCCAGTCATGTGAGCTGTCCAGCCAAGTTTCTGTTATTCCCACTTAGCCGTAGTAGTCCTTAGTATAAGTTTAAGCTCCTCCAATTTGTTTGTTAGACTTCTTGCATTTGTGTACATACATTTTAGTTGGGTGCCAGTGTTATGTTATTTTTATTTTTGCTCATCCCTGAAGTGCAGCTAATTCGTGTAACTGACCTTGGTACGTTTAATTCATTACTAACTCATTTGATTGGAATGAGCCCTGCCCCTAGTATTACACCCATCTATAATAAGTGTCCATGCAGCCCCTTGTTCTCTGCTGCTCCTTCCTCATATATATGCAGCCCATCTCTACTGTAGAGCCGGTAGCTGACTGAGAAGTCAGCTAGAGTCTTGGTCTCTCCCCCTTAGCCCCCTGAATTCCCTCTCACTTGACACTCTCCACTGTGTGTTCCCTCAGCCCACACTGTACCTTAGTACCTTCATACTGTTGCAATTCCTCTTAGCTGCAGCCACTCCCCCACAGTTCAGTAACACACCCTGCTTGCTCTACACATTTTAGCACAGCTCCCGCTCCTGCTCTCGGATCTGTCTCTGCAAAGTCCTTACCCCTGACCTGCACTTGGGCTGCCTGGTGCTCCTCAGTGTGCCTGGTGAACCTCTGCAGTCAAGCTGTTGCTATCTCCTTGGTTTTGTCTGTCGATTACTTCCTGCCTTGTGGGGTCTGAGAGCTGCCACCACTGTCTTGTGCGCTGTGTAGGTTCACGCCTTCTTTCCTCTTTGTCATAGTGGGCAGTGGGTAGAGTGCTGATGTAAGCAGAGGATAGAAGCAGTAAGGATGTAAGTACGTTGTAGGGTGGCAGATGCAACAAAATAGTCAGAGGCAGCAGGGTCCTTTACAGGATAAGTTCAGGATGCCATGGGGAGCTAGAGAGAGCATGTGTTCACTCAGGCCTTGTTCACACCAAGCGCGTTCCAGGAGCAGAGCACTTACAGACCGGAGCAAAACTGGGTCCAATGTATTCCAATTGTATTTTTAGCTCCAGTTCACATCGCAGCGTTCCGTTCCAGAGCAGGTAAAAAAACGGCAGCAGGCCCTATTTTACCTGCTCTGGATCTGCTCTGGAACGCATGCAGATGCATCAAAAACGCATGCAAACGCCCTGGAACACACTGAAAGCCCATTTTAAACTTTAATTCTTTTTTTTAAAACCAAAAACGGCCTGGAATGCATCAAAAACGCGGCAGAAACGCGGCACAACCCACTGCACTGCGTGTGCAGAAACTCATGCAGATCTGGTCTGCATTTTGTGTGTACAAGGCCTCAATGTAGTGGCTGGCCATGCCCCCAGCCCCCTTTAAATGTTACTGTAGATACACTCCTTGGTTTCATTTTTTAAAACAGAATCCCTACTTTTGTGCCCAATGCTCATATAATGTAAAATCTACACTATTGGAATACGACTTTCATGGCTTGTTACTTGTAAGACTTACATGCCAAATCTGCATCCCCATTCTTTGATAGTGGTGGGCAGCCAGTCTTCACATACAACTGAAAAACCCCAAGCTAAATCCTAATACTCTTCTTTTTTCATTTGCTGTTGAGATCTAATCAATGCCCAAATATAATCAATGTTTAGTTTTTCTTGGAGGCTATTCTTTCCATTAAAAAACAAAACTTGAAAATTATCTCTACTCACCAAATGTGACGGATAATCATTGACATCATATATCGCATTTTCTTGTGTAGCATGCAGAATGTATTATTAGGAAAGTACTGCATTATGGTCACTAGATGGAGCAGAGGAGCATAGGACATAATACTTATTTCCTATGCTTCTCAGCTCCATCTATGTGGTTTGTTTCCAATATTACATTCAACTAGAAAAGAAAATATGTGGTATTTTCTTGTAATGTATTCCATAGCTAAGGTTATCCTTCTGTTAACATATGCATAAATTCTGTAGCATATGTTCATAGTACAGTGAAAATCAAGACATCTTATCCCTTTGGTCCTGTGCTTTCTCTTATATAATTGCTTAATGTTTGCTTTGTTTTCCTTTTTATAGAAAAGACTACTTACCCCAAGTCACTCCGAAGATGGTCCTCTTGGAGTGGTGCAGGAAGGAAAAGCTCTTGCAGCCTGTATATCAGACTGTAAGTTTTCTTTTTTAACTGCCGATAAGCATTATTCCTCATTTTAAGGTACTGTACAGGGCTATGGTAATTATTGTTTTTTGTCCCAAGGCCAGCTATGCATCTAGTACTGCTGGTTTGCAGCACAAATACAGCCTCAAGCTTGGTACACATAGAGTGAATTTTGATCCGTTGGTGGACCTATGCCCTTGAAAAAAGGGCCGTTGGTGGAACTTTTTTCCCCTAGTCCCCCTGCAAAGTCTAAGAAAAACCTCTTGAGTCTTCCAGTGAAGTACATCTTATGCAGCTTTCTGTGATGAGTTGACAATGCTGATACACTGCTACCTAATTCAAAGCAACACTGTCCCTCATGTAGGCTGTGGCTGCTTGCACTACAGTTGCATGAGCAGATGCTGTAGTAGCGTGGCTATTACCGTTAACACTGTTGATGCATTGGACGGTAGTTTGTCGGCCAACAGCTGTTCACACCTAGGCCTGCCCACTTCTTTCTGTGGTGACAGAACTGAATATGCTGCTGAAGCCCTCCCACTTGTGGCTGCAGTGTCTGCGAGGGGGGATCGTGTGAAACACAAATTAAAAATTTGGCTGACTCAAGGGAGATAAAATACATATTGTTTAAATGTTTGCATGTTTAATCACATAGTAAGTGGATTTAGAACTTGTTTAGACTGCTACGCATTGCACAAATTTGCACGCATGTTAAAATACACATTTTAGGCCTGAAGATTACTTAAAACCTCCCAGAATTATATATTTCCTGACCCTATAGAATACAATGGTGATAGTTAACATTTTTGATTGTCGCATGATATTAGCACAACTGTTTTTCAAACCCAAATTTTAAGTAAAAATATTTTAGTGCACATAAACATAATATATTACCCAATGTAATTTAGTTTGGTAAAATATAAATAAATATATGCTAGATACTAAACATGTTAAGCTTTAAAATTGCGCATGTCTGTAAAATGGCCAAAAACGATGTTACCCAAAATTGTCTGTAGGTGACGTTTCTGAAGCTTTTACAAGTCATCCGTTTATAGTTAACCATGATGAATGGCCTAGAATTATTGCTCTCACTCCAGCGTGCACGGCAGTACCTAACGTGTGACGCATTCATCATTTTAGTACTGTGACAGGGTATATGACTGTGTTTATGTCAGTGAAAGATTGAGAAGGGCATTTTTCCCTGGCTAAGAAGGAGTTAAGCCATGCCCCAACAGGTACACCTTAATTAGCCTGCACCTGATAGTGACTGAGAGGAGGAGAGAGCTCAGAGAGAGATCCATTCTGGGCTGAATGGATGCATACACAGACTGGAGAGCATCTGAATACATCTGGGTTAAAATTTGTCTGGCTAAAAGGTCTGGCTAAAAGTTGTATGTTAAAGACTGTGTTTCTTTATGCTTCTTTTGGTACTGGAAAGCTGGAATAGCCGCTCCAGTAGAAAGTAGTCAGGGAAATTACTGTTAGTTAGACTCCTAAGTTGGAGTAGGACTTTTTATTTTGTGTTACTGCTGCCAGAAGCTGTTTTGATAAATAGGGAGAAAGCACCCTATTGAAAGAGACTGTTAATTATGATTCACAATAAATCTGCATATACTGGAAACTCCTGAGTACGGACCAGTCACTTTCTTACAGTACGTAGGCACGTCCGACGCATAACTGCATTATGCAATGGAAGGGGACTTGAAATGTATTTGCGGTGTATTAATATATTTAATCTCAGTTCTATCCATGATCTTCTTATCTCCAATTCCTTTGACATGCTGGCTGTTACTGAAACCTGGCTTCAGGAATCCGACTCTGCCTCCCCTGCTGCACTCTCCCACGGTGGCCTCCACTGGACGCACTCACCCAGACCAAGTAGACGGAAAGGAGGTGGAGTGGGAATCCTTCTATCCCCGCAATGCACTTTTCAAGTTTTGCCTTCGCCTCCCTCTCTATCCCTCTCCTCTTTTGAAACCCACTGTATTCGCCTGTTCTCTCCAAATTCTCTGAGGATTGCTGTTATATACCGGCCACCTGGACCGGTATCTCGCTTTCTGGATGACTTCTCTGCCTGACTACCCTACTTTCTCTCCTCAGAAATTCCCACTATCATTCTTGGTGACTTTAACATTGCTAATAACATTAACACTCCGGCTTCCACTCAATTCCTTAACCTAATAAAGATATATATACACAGCACTAATTAATCTAATTACATAAATAAAGTACATAAATAATTCAGTGTTTCATATATAAGTGGACAGCATTAAATCAAATCCAACATACACAAACAGTGCTAAAGTAAATCGTGAGTGATGAAAAATAAGTTGTGTGAACAAAATGTTAATAAAATTCCTCTGTGATCATAAAAAAGGATCACTATTCCCTGTCAAAATGGTCCAGGACAGTTGAAAGGAGCGTTCACAACCCTCAGAAGTTATTTAAAGCCAATTGCACCCTTAAAAACCACGTTGCCCATTGCCTCCAATTAATTTTGCCAAATAGCAAAATGTTGCCAGTCTCCTGAGCAGAGCACCACAGGGGTTGGGTGGTATTATGCTGGCTGGATGTGGAAGATCATCTGTTAAAAGTTGCCTGCAGACGCAGAAATTGGAGGCTGTTAAGCTACAGTGTTACTTGAATAGTTAATCATATACGGATTGGTTTCCAGGATGGATCTTCCATACTTATTGATAGATCATCCCAACTATTCTACTCCGTTAAATACAAGCGTGTGGGGCTGTCTGCTACAGCCGGATACCTGGGGTGAGTACACATTTTTAGGGGAATGGTATTGATCTCAATACACTCCCCAGAATAAGGATTGAGTGTACATCACCGAATATATTGAAACACTTCGTTATTTTCTCACTTGGAATGGACTGAAAAACACCACAGAGACTTTTATTATGGTATTTATTTTTTATTTAAAAAACTCGGTGCTTCAAAGTTTTGCACACAACAAAGATCACAGATTCATTTTTCATTATAGGAATGCATCACTTATAGTCTGTTAATAAGAATTTTTTTTATGATCACAGAGGAATTTTATTAACACTTTGTTCATACAACTTATTTTTCATCACTCACGATTTACTTTAGCACTGTTTGTGTATGTTGGATTTGATTTAATGCTGTCCACTTATATATGAAACACTGAATTATTTATGTACTTTGAACTTATATGGGAGTCACATATGATTTGATAATTTAACACTGGTTTTTGTGTATATACACTGTACATGTATTCACTTTAGATTAATTAGCGCTGTGTATATATATCTTTATTCATTCAATAGACCCTAGAAGTCTATATCACAGCAGCTTCAGCCTAAACACTTCACTTATTTGATTAACATTGGTGTAGATTGGTTTTGGAATATTAGCGCTGCCCATTTAATTAACTCAATTCCTTAACCTAACCTCTTCTTTTGACCTAACACAATGGTCAGACACTCCTATTCACTCTGATGGTAACATACTAGATCTTGTTTTCTCTCACTTTTGCACTCCTCGCAACCTCTCCAACACCCCTTTCCCACTCTCTGATCACAACCTTGTCAGCTTTACCCTCACCCTATCCCCGACCCTGAATCCACCTACACGGCACACTGTCACCCAGAGAAACCTTTGCCAACTCAACCCTTCTCTTCTCTACTCTGCTACTGACTACCTCTATAACAAAATTTCACCCCTGTCCTGCCCTGACCTAGTTACTTCTATCTACAACAGCTCACTTTCATCCTCTCTAGACACTTTGGCTCCCCTCAGTACACGCAGACTTAGATCAAGTCCACTACAACCGTGGCAAACTAAAGAAACAAGACATCTAAAAAGATATAGCCACGCTCTTGAACGACTGTGGCGGAAAACTAGGCTTGTGCAAGACTTCACCCTGTACAAAGCTGCCCTCCTAAAATATAATTATTTCCTCCGTGCTGCCAAACAGACGTTTGGAAGCACTTTTGTAGCTCCGTATGCCGTATGTCCTTGGCACAGCGAAAGGGTTAACACACTCTCATCCAAACCTTGTCAACTCTTTTCTACTTTTAACTCTTTACTATGTCCTCCACCGCCACCACCCACTGACTCACTCACTGCCCAGGACATTGCCATTCACTTCAAAAACAAAATCGATACAATTCGGGATCAGAACGCCACTGTCCAATTATCTTCCCCTATTCATGTACCAGTCCCTCCATCACACTTATTACTTTCCTCTTTTGACCCTGTCAGCACAGAGGAGGTTACTAAGCTCCTCTCTGACACCCACCTCACCACTTGCCCCCTGGACCCTGTTCCCCCACCACTACTTCGGTCACCCTCTTGCTCTATCCTACACTCGAGTTCTTACTCACATTTTCAATCTCTCACTCTCTACTCCCCTCTGAAGCATGCTCTGGTCACCCCAATACCCAAAAAAACCTCAATGGACCCTACCGACCTCAACAATCTCAGACCAATCTCCTTACTCCCATTCACCTCCAAACTCCTGGAACGCCTTATCTACAGCCGCCTGAGCCGCCAACTCGCTGATAACCTTCTCAATCCCTTACAGTCCGGCTTTCGCCCCTACCCTCCACTGAAACCAACCTCCTAAAACTCACTAATGACCTATTAACAGCTAAAAACAATGGCCACTACTCCTTACTCTTGCTATTAGACATTTCTGCTGATTTTGACACTGTTGACCACCTGCTCTTCCTCACAACAACTCCACTCAATTGGCCTACAAGACTCTGCTCTCTCATGGTTCTCCTCCTACCTATCTAATCGCTCCTTTAGTGTCGCCTACAAATCTACATCCTCCCCCCCTCTTCCTCTTTCTGTAGGGGTCCCCAAGGCTCTGTCCTTGGACCCCTTCTCTTCTCTATCTACACCTCCTCCCTTGGTCAGTTAATAACCTCACATGTTTTCAATATATGCAGCGCCAACGAAAAATGGTGGATAAATTGAGTGAATGTGGTTAAGACAATATACTGCAAACAATAAATGATGTACTGAAATTG